CAACCCAAACATGTGGGTCATCTTCAGAGCTGAAAATGTTTTTTTAAAATTACAATCAGAGATATAATAGTATACGACCGCTAATTATAAATAATAAACTATAGTGATTGATGGCACATGAATCTTAACTAATATTGTAATAAGCATATTAAAATAGTTATACAAACTAAAAATAATGTATATAATCCATTTATATAAATTTGTAATATTTTCTCTTACTAACCGTGGTTTGAGCACTGAGGTTGTTCAAGTACTGACACATGTTTGGTAGGTAAGTAAAAAGGTCAGGGGGGGGGGGGAGGATTTCCCACTTGTCCTTTTTCAGATAGCAAAAGGTAAGTAAACAAGGTTAGAGGGGAAGGGAGGGGAACATTTTTTGTTTGTAGAATATACATATTTGCTGACAAATATTTCAGACGTGTACAATATTTGAGTTATTTCATATGGTTACAGAAATGTGACTATTGACTAGTATTAAAATTTAATAAAATTTATAACTCAAATATTGTACACGTCTGAAATATTTGTCAGCAAATATGTATATTCTACAAACAACAAATGTTCCCCTCCCTCCCCCTTTGACTATGTTTAGCTATCTTTTGCTATCTGAAAAAGGACAAGTGGGAAATCCTCCCCCCCCCTGACCTTTTTACTTACCTACCAAACATGTGTCAGTACTTGAACAACCTCAGTACTCAAACCACGGTTAGTTAGAGAAAATATTACAAATTTATATAAATGGATTATATACATTACTTTTTATTTTTAGTTTGTATAACTATTTTAATATGTGTATTACAATATAAGTTAAGATTCATGTGCCATCAATCACTATAGTTTATTATTTATAATTAGCGGTCGTATACTATTATATCTCTGATTGTAATTTAAAAAAAACATTTTTAGCCCTGAAGATGACCCACATGTTTGGGTTGAAACGTTGGCAAAAATAAAAAAATTTTTAAAAAAGACTGCGTCCTGAATATTTATCACCCATGATATGTAGAACGGTCGCCTAACTTCCTTCGAGTAATTTAATTGATTATTTTAATCAAATAATCTCATATATCAGGTTGCCGGGCAACAGTGGTGCTGTGCACATGCGTCAGTCCTCTCTGCCACCCCCACCCCTTTATATTAGATACTTTGATTTTCCTAACTGTACACAAATTGGTGTAGTAGCCAATGGTCATTACGGCTCTAAATTCAAGTAAATTTCATACTATGACTTTCATGAAAAAATTGAGAAAAGAGGTAGCCTACAAAAATATTGGGTTGTTTGGCCTATCCAACCTTGTTATTTTTACATGATGGGGGTGATGGTCACACCAAGCAGCTCAATATTTTTGTAGGCCACATAATTTCTCAATTTCGTGATCATATTATCTTGCGATTCCCGAATTCCCAAAAAATTAATAAGGTTATTGCAAATGACTATGAATAATAGTAATGCAAAAGTAGTTATTAAAGGCAATGTAAGCAATAGCTTTCCAATGACGGGTGGCATTAGGCAAGGGGATGCTTTGTCTGCCACATTATTTAATATTGCACTTAATAACGTGTTCAAAAAACTGAATTCACCTGGTTGCATACTTAACGCAATGGTGCAAATATGTGCTTAGGCAGACGATATATGCCTAATTACCAGGAATTTGAGATTAATAAAAGAAATATTTGCAATATTGAAAGCCGTAGGTGAAAATGTTGGGCTGGAAATCAATCAAGATAAGACAAAATACATGTATGTCGGAGCCGACTATGAGGCTGGGCCACAGAGCATTGAAATATATGGTCTCACCTTCAAGTGTGTCTAAAAATTCACATATCTGGGGGTGGAAGTTAATTCTGAAAATAAAATTGCTGCTGAGGTGTACAGGAGGATCATGGCTGGAAACCGGGCGTACTATGCCAACCTAAAATTTTTTTGATCATCGTTCATGTCACGAGAAACAAAGATAAGACTGTATAAGGCTTTAGTAAGACCTACTGTGACTTATGAAGCGGAGACATGGACCCTTTGTACTAGCAAAATTAGTATGCTGAATATTTTTGAAAGAAAAATATTGAGAAAAATTTATGGAGCTGTTTGTGAAGAGGGTGTGTGGAGGTATAGAAAAAATGCGGAGCTATATGAATTATATAATAGCGCCAACATAGTTAATTTCGTTAAAATTAGGCGTATGGAATGGTTAGGGCACCTGGTTAGAATGGACCACAGCAGGATGCCTTATAGGGCATTGTTCTCTACGATGTAGGGCACAAGAAGAAAGGGAAGACCAAGGAAGAGATGGCTACAAGATGTTGAGAGCGACCTTAGGACACTGGGCATGAGAAATTGGAAGGAAAGAGCGAGCAATAGTGACGATTGGCATGCTATAATTCAGGAAGCCAAGGCTGTAGAGCTACATAGTAAGTAATTAAGTATTATCTAGCGATTTAATTGAGTTTTTAATAGCTCATTATGTAGACAAAGTTTAATATCTCCACACTGAAAAAGATCCCATTTGTGAGAATTTTCATAAATAAAAAATATGTAGGTTATGATCAGATGAAGCCATTCACAAAATTTTAGATGGCTGTTAATAATTTGATAAAAATTGGTATATGCCATGGACTATTCAGATACATCAAATTTGACAAAATTGCATTTTACATCCAAAGCAGTAAGATAAGTCACGTGTATAAACAAAAATGATACTTTCTTAAAAAAATTCCAGCATAGTTAGATATTAACAAAAAGAGATATTTGAAACTGATACGTTTGATACTTACTATCTGATTGGGGCACATGATGTTCGGTCCTTCAGTAAGCTGAGTCTCAGACCTATCTTGTACATCCATACATTTTAATCTCCTAATAAGCTCTTCATCATCGAAATCTCCCTTCATTGGATTAATGCTAACGTTAGCTTTAGCTTTTGGTTCCTCCATAAGCTTAGCAGACATCCTCCGTTTTTCTAAATTAGCCCCTTCTATTCTGAAAGAAAACATATAACAGTATGACTATACAAACATCAAAATCACTTATAATCAATGTATAGTTATAGATTCTTTACCTCTCTAGACCGATGAAGCCGGCAGTCAAAAATAAAAATTCAATCATAAGGCTTATAAACTTTTTAAAAAAATAATAATATGTACAAATAAACAAGTTTAAAAAATAATAATACAATTTTTAAAAATCTTACTGGTTTTGGGCTGCTTTGATATCCTGCTTCTGAAGTTCTTTAGCATGAGCTTGTGATGATGTCAGTTCAATAGTAAGAGGTAAGGTAACACCTGAAAATATTAAAATGTTAAAAAAAAAAAAAAAAATAGAATAGCATAAGATAAGATATGCTTATAGGCAAACCTGGGCAAAAAATATTTTAAATATTATTTTAAAATACCAAGTATTTTGTGTTTTTAAAATACATTATATTTTAATTACAAAGAATCCAAATTGTTTTCAAATACTAAAAGTATTTTGAATTTTAATAGTAAAAATAATTAAATTTAATAATGAAACACTTTTTCAATTATAAATATAAAATGTCGAACCTTGGTCAGAAGTTATTAGAACTCGTCCTTTCACGAAAGGATGTTCCAAGAGATAAGGCCAGGATAGTCTTTCATAAGGATTCTTCTGCAAAAGACCTTTAAGTAAACTAAGACAATCTGGGGAAATAGACAATGGCCACCTCACAGGCTCGCAACGGATAAGATTTGCCAAATGCAAAATATTATTAGTTTTAAATGGAGGAGAACCGACAACCATTTCATACGTGATACAGCCCAATGACCTGAAAATTGGATAAAAGATAACTATTATAAAACATCATTTCTATATCATACAATCATACATGTAAAATAAGTTTTACAAAATTTAAATATACCATAAATCAGCATTATGATCATAGGGACTTCCTTCCATAAGTTCTGGTGCCATATATAACGGAGTGCCTTTGATAGAAGTGAGAACATGTGTTCCTAAGCTCATGTTTCTAGCAAAACCGAAATCGCAAAGCTTTGCCACACCATTCTCACTCAGAAGAACATTTTGAGGCTTCAAATCCCTATCAAAAAATAAATAAATTACATATAAATGAAAAAATAAGTTTACACACATTAAAAACAGTCATGATTAAAAATGACAAATTCCTAAAATTGCAATAAGATTTTTTTTAATAAAGGTATTATGGTAGTGGAAACCATCCAAAAAAAAAAAAAAAAGCTCTAAAACACATTTAAGTTTTCCATGAAACATATTATAAATCAAATAATTTAATTTTGAATTAGTGTTAGCTAATTAATATCATTTATTTGAACAGGCTATTCAGTAAACGAGAAAAACTTTTTAATAACTTTGTACAAAAACTAACTGAAATCAGATCTATAGAATACAATGTATTTTATTTATAAATAAAATATATATTAATAAATGGAACTTGGATAGTTTTAACTATAGTTGTTGTTATTACTGTTATTTAGGACTTAGAGACGCAAAACCCTGAAGTTATCGACGCCTACAATATAACTAGAGAACTTGATTAGAAACGGAAATACCATAGATTCAAACCCCAAACTACTACTTTCCAGAATTGTCAGAACCAGCCAGAAAGGTAAAATGAAAAGATTTAATAATAGAATGACAAAAAAAATTGTATAATTAATACAAATACTATTAAAATGTACAAATATATAAAATATTAGTATAAATAAAAACAAATACATATTAGCTAACATCATTCTCTGATTGAATCCCGAAAACAGTATTTTCAACAGTAATAGAGATTTTAAAAAATTTAATCAACCAAATCAAGTTGAAAATAAATATAAAACAAAATTAAAATGAAGTAGAACTTGTCAGTATTAAAATACAGAAAATGATTAACTTAGACACAAAAGAAAATAGTAAATCACAAAAAAAAATAACATATTACCATTATTTAAATCTGTTCAACAATTATTTATTAATAAATTCAAGAAAATACACTTAATACTAAGTTCTTAATGTCACCTTCAGATAGCAGCACATAGGTGTATAACCTGATATTTACCTCTCTCATTTACAGTTGTTATTAGAGCAAAGAAACAACATAGAGTTAATGATTTTTATTTATAGATAATTTTAATTACTTTTTTAATTGTATAATAATATGTTTACTGTTTTTGTATTTTAACAAGTAAATTATAAACAGTTCGTAACATATTGCGGAGTGATTATAAGAATGTTTTCTTTTTTAAAATTAAGTAATATTACAAGACAGATATCCACATCATGTCCAAATTATTTTCGTTTGACACCAGCTTTGTTGGCAGAACCTTTGAAGAAGAAAAAAAGGCTTGATCCCATGATAATAAAACAAAGGGAGGAAAGGAGAAGAAAACGATTAGAAAAGCAAATTAAAAAATTGGAGAAAAATGCAAGACAGTATAAGCCAATAGATGAGTGTGAAGTACCTTTAGAAATTTTAAATGAGAGAAAAACACGTATGCGGGTGTTAAAACCTATTAATGAAGAAACATTAGAAGAACGTGTTAAATTATTCAAGCAATGGGCAGTTTATAAACATAAATGCCAATTAGCTGATGTTAAAATGTGTGATAGGATACTTATGGCACAACAATGGGCTTTGGATGAACTGAGGAATGAGTCGGAGGAACTCTACCAGGCAGCTATACAATTAGATGAAACTTTACTCCCGTTCAAAAGCAGAGGTCCGGTAGAGACTCCACCTATTGAAAACTACGATTGTCCAGATGGAGAATATATTGATATTTCTAAAAAATGGGAAGTTTAAATATTTATATTCAAATCCATAAGCAAGTGTTATAACTAATTTAATATAAGATCAATGTTTGCCTACCTATGTAAAACTCTATTAGAATGCAAGTAATACAATGCTGATACTAAATCAATTGTAATTTTTCTTGCTAAATCCTCATGCAGAAACCTTTCTGATGCTAAGATACGATATAAATCTCTGAATGCACATTCTGTGACAACAGCAATCTGTAATCATATCCATGGAATTAGTAAATAAATTGAATTAATGTAGAAAAACTTAATAGTGTTATTTATCCATAACAAAATCGTTTATCCAAACAATAAAGATAAAAAAACTCAATATAAATCAATAATCACAGTATTACTTTCCTTATGAACAACATATTCTCACGTAATTAGCCTCAATGAAAATAACAATTTATTAATAAATAATTGGTTATTGGTTAACTCATCAATATAAAAAAAACTAACAAATATTATATACAGGATGGTTTTGATAATCGGAACATACAGATTGCATGGCCTATTGGAATTATCAAAGGTTAATAAATTTTATAAGTAACAAAAATATATGTATATCAGTTAAATATAAACACATCGCAAACTAAAAAATGATCCTATAATGTATATTCAATCTCTGATTTTGTTGCTAAAGAAAATGCCTGATCTCCAGGTTTGGAGATCAACACCCAGTATACCAGGTTTGGTAGTCGACATTGTATCCATTTGCCCACTCCTTAAATGCCTTTATGGCATTTCTATTAGTCCCGGAGCATTGACCATATCCACAGGCCTGATGAGAAAAATGCACGTCTGCCAGAATATAGCCACTGGAATATAAAATGACTGCCATGTGAAGATAGAGACCCTACACAGGTTGTAAGTGTAAATAGAGAGAGTGTTTATAGACATATAAAGCTACCAACTCTTTCAATTTATAGTATTTACAGTCTTAAGACATGAAATATAATAGTCAGTTACCGTATACCTGTGGATTTCAAGTTGAAAAATTGAATTTATGATTCAAAAGTATTGCTTTTTGGTTTTTCGCTTATATTAGTGGAACTATGCGTTCTATCTGTAATAATGTCATGTGAAATTAAAGCTGACAACATTTGAAACAGAAATGATTATATTAATTTGTTCGCTCTATTCTATAGTTTCTGTGATATCCATCCTCATAATTCACTGATTTCGAAAAAGTTTCACATTTTTATCATTATTTGACTCGCCAACTCTTAATCGTTTCATTTCTCGGGAAAAGTCAAGAGAAAGAAAGTTGTTTAATATTAAACTTTCTTTAAGAATATATGGGAGTGGGGTAGCTCAGTGGTAGGGCACTGAGCTTCCAATGCAAAGGTCCCAGGTTTGAACCCCGGCTCATGGCAGAAAATTTATTTATCTGTTTCATTGGCCGTGGGGCGACTCTGGGTTGAGAGTCCCTCCTGGGGCACACCCAGCCTCTATAAAGTGGGTACCCTTAATTAAATAATTAATTAAGGGGGAAAACCCTGGCGGTTGAGCGTGATCTCGGTCAAATCACCTCCTTGCACAACCGTTGACCTAGAAACAGTACTTTTCCTAAATAGTACTGAACCCCAGACCCTTCATGGGTTGTAGTGGTACAGGTTAAGAATATATATTACTTTACTCTCTTATCTTCAACCATTCAAAGGCTAGAGTAATTATAACTTAATCATCAAATTCCAAAACTATACAGAATAACTTACTTTTCGCAATTTTCTTTATTACATAGCTCTTAATCTGTATATAAGACAACATATATGTGTATACATTGGCTAACATATATATATGGTCAATTTTGACATGGGTTCCAGGACTACATGACTTATCTACAATGAAAAATAAAATGGGTGTAAAGAAATTTTCCAGAGAAATAAAAATTAAAATACTGTTTTTTAAATTATAAGGCCAACCTTTACTGGCATTAAAATTTTCTTAGTCATAGTTTTAAAAATTTTTTTTTACTAATATATCCCTCAAAATTGGATACCCTCACGAAATCTGCATACAAAGAGATTCCTTAACTTCTGGATGACCGCCTCGTTTTAATGTTTTCCTTTTAAAAACACCACAATACGATTTTGACAATTCCAGTAACATATACTGAGAAAGAGAGCCATTTCCGTTCCGTCTCTCATCAGTGTACTTTAAACTTTTTTTCTTTCTTGTTAGCATTATCAAAAAAGTCCTGTATTTATTTACATTTAATAACCAGAATCTGATCTTTACTAATTTTAAACAATCTTGCAACTTAATACATAGATTTTTTGCTAAATCAGTTTATTATTTAATTTAATAATATTGCAATAATTGTTATTCAACAAAATATACAAAAAAGTTGCATCACAGATTTTATTTCCAATACAAACTGAAAATCATCTCCGATAAAACTTAATGCGATGACATAATTTAAGACTTTAAATCTTAACTATAATTTATAATTTCTTTTGCAAAACAGTTTCACATAAAACAATTAATTTTTCAATCAAAGACGTATTGCAAATAGTACCAAGGCGTGTTAATAAAATTTAACTTACAATGGCAGTTAATATATAAATAACAAATTTACTACAAATATATTGATGAATTACTATTCAGGTACTAAAACACATTAATAGAATGAATGATGCCTCACAACACCAAAATGGATTGAAAAGAACATGGAACTGAGATCTGCTTACATCAAATAAGCAAAGGAAAACGTAAGAGAACATTGGATACAATACCATTTGTAATGCTACTGAACAGAATTATGCTGCTTATGAATTTTTGCTAAATCAATAAAATAAAAACTAAACTCAAAGTTTATTCAAAATATATAACTAATAAGAAACAGAAATCTAACAGTTACTGATATTTTTTACTTACCTCATTCTCTGTCTCAAATGAATCCAACATCTGGATGATGTTAGGGTGATTAAAATGTCTCTGGATTTCGCATTCTTTTCTAAGACTAATCAATTCTTTTTCTGAGCGACCATGCTAAAAATAAATTAAATTATTTAACTGGAACCACTTCTAAAAGTATTCAATAATCTCAAGAGAAAACATTAATTCCTACAAGGGCCATAAATGAGTAATCAACTTTTGGAACTGTTTCGCATAATAATTACTATTTCAGGCTTTAAAATTAAATATGCCTCAGTAGTTTAGGAGTAACTTTCAACAATTTAACTAGGAATCTTGACAAATAAAATAGTTTTCATAAGAGTATTTGTTTTTAATTTAAATCAAAATCCCTAGGGTGTACAAATTTGAACAGTTGCCATACATAATAAGTTGTGGATACAGTTGGAACAAAATAATCCTTAATCCTAAATAGAGTATAATTTAATCACAATAAGTCATATTTTACCTTTTTAATAAGTTTTAAAGCAACTATTTCTTTATCACTTTTTCTTCTTGCTTTATATACCTTTCCAAACGATCCTTCTCCGAGGATCGGAAGGAGATCATAGTTATTCATATTTTCAGAATAGACTTAAAGAAAGTTCAGTATTCATAAACAGTTTAAAAACGTAACATACCTATAACCTTAACAAGTAAATAAACAATATTAACTTCTACTGTTCCCTGGAATCTGTCATCGAGGTAATACTTTATTCTTCAAAAACTTTTTCAGGAAACTTGAACATGGTTTATGACGTCACTGACAGCCTTCGTTCTCTACTGTTCCAAAAATCATTTTACACCCATATTCAAATGCATAGGTTCAACTTTGTAAATATTGAAACTATAATCCATATACATTTTTGGAGTCGTTTGATATATGGTTGATATTCAATGTATAGAAATAAAGTTTGGCTCGAAGGTTCCCATGCCCTTAGAGAAATTGCGAGAGACAGATAGGTTTGTTGAGACCTCTATTTCGTACGAATCCATAAAACTATCTCCTCGTAGGAAGAGGTCGAAAGATTCTTCTCCTGCTAATAACAGCCCCGGCTTTGGTAATTTACAGCAGCACCAACCCGCTTTTGAGAAAGAATCTAGGAAACAAACTCATATCTCTTCAATTATTCCTACTTTCAATTATTCCTTTATCATTGTTACTAGTTATCCGAGGCCCCAAAATGAGGTCGCTTCTAAATACTCCTGAATAAAAAGTATGCTTAAGCAATTTAATTTTCTTTAACATTTTCTTAATAGAAGTCTGATTCGATTTAAGGCTACAATATGATCCTTAAAGGCTGAATGCAAGCAAATCTGTCATCCATATGGTTAATGGGTCTAAGTTGCTCTTAATCTTATCTTCTAAAGTGTGAAATCTTTAAATCATCGTAGAGTCAAATTATTTATTATTTATGAATAGAAGAATAGTTGGGGTTATCAGTCAAATAAGAAGGCAAAAATAAATGATAATATTTATTTTGACATTTGCCGAAGTTTCGACCTGAAGTTCAGGCCATCATCAGGGCTAAGAAAAGAACCAGATAACAAGGTATGAGAAACATAAGAAGTAGTGTAGGTAAAAAAAAATTAAATTAAAATGCAGTTGTTAGAATAATGACAATAGTAAGAACTGAGAGATAAATGATAATAACCGGTACAAAGTGTGGAATGCTGAAGTAAACATAATCAAAAAAGGTGACATAAGTATTAAAAAAGGAATCTTAGAATAAAATGTAAAACAGAAAAATACGAAGTTATATAAGAAATGGAAATAAATAGTAAAATTAAGATATAGTGAATAGAATAGTTAGATAGAAAATTGAGATGTTGTAAACTTTACAACATCTCGATTTTCTATCTCAAATGTCAAAATAAATATTATCATTTATTTTTGCCTTCTTATTTGACTGATCACCCCAACTATTCTTCTCTTCATTATTCACGACAGCCAACCATTTACCCACAATTATTTATTATTTAATATGGAAATGGAGCCTTCAGCCACCCTCAGATTAGCTGTATACGTTAACGGAGAGTAAGAGTTCATAGAGAATTGTAATAACTTGAATTCTGACCCAAAGTCATTGGCCTGTTTTTAAATGATACTTTCACAAAAGAAAAGATTCGCTATTTCAGTAAAAAGGCAAATTAAGACTGGTAGTAAAGATATCTTCTACTTTGATATTTTAGCTATTAACAGGATTGAAAAGAGATAAAAGGATTAACCTGAGATTATTCATAAGTCTATTATATTCATGATTTCATTCTGATTGTCACAACCTTTCAATACAGTTTTAAAATCTATAGATTTATGATAATCGTAACATAAATAAAGTGATGTGTTAGTTTTTTACCGAAAGTGTACTTTAAGATGTATAATAATTACTGTATAATAAATAAAGAATTGTGCTGTTCCCTGGCGTGCATGTACTCATGCATAATTCCTCACTGCTGTCAGGTATCAGTGAAAATATCATACCGATTAAGTTTGTTAGCTTGGATAGCGTTTTTCAAATGACAATAATAAAACTTCTTTAGAGAGAGTGGGCGAATGAATACGATTTTATCTTAACAGGGGTGCCCAGAAAAGGGTTTCATGGCGCAATTCACGCCATAAAAATGTATGAGAGGAGTTCATTTTGACGGATTTTAAAATTGTTTTGGGGACATATTTCGGCAGGGTTGTGAATTTTCGGAGTGAAAAGTTTCAAACCAGGGAAGAAGAGAAAAACGTGGACCACACCACAGTAAGAATAATTATATGCGATCTATTATATTTCTAATTCTACTTTCGCTTGCAGTGTTTTAAGAAGAGGAACGAGCTAAAATTTGTTGGGGAGTGGTTATATGCCATCGACTTTAGGAGGGATGGACACCCCTAGTTCCCAAAGTATCTGTTTAGGACAAATACACAATTATAAAAGTTATATGAGATTTCAGGACTTGCTCTTTTGTATGACAAATTGTTTTTTTATTTCTTGTTATAATCTCAATGCTTACACTTACTTACTAAAATCCATATGGACCTATGTATTGCAAATCTACGGAATAGCAAAAAAGACCCAAATTCAAAAAATGAAGACTTTCCAATCAAAATCTCTAAGACTCATCACTCGCTCACCCTGGTACATCAGTAACAAAACAATACATACCGACTTAAACATGCCGATGGTGCAAGGGCACACCCGGACATCTTATAAAAAATTCCAATCCAAACGTTACGAACATACCAACATACTTATAAAAAAAAAAAGGCCACGAGACAAATGCCAGAAAACACTCGACGTAGGCTGAAAAGGAGCTGGCTAAGGGATCTCCTGGATTAACTTTTTCTTTTATTTCAAGTTAGGAGTAGGTGCCGATGGGTAACAAACACCCTCATGCCAATTCTATCAATAAAGATCACATCCGCTTATTGTTACAGGCGGCTGTGACAGGTGTGGATTAAATAAATAAATGTTTAAAAAAAAATCTCATTAAACTCGAGAACTTTATACAACTAAATCATGAGGTCCAGTTATTATTCAGTTACTGTATACTGAGTGCAGTAGCCAGAATCTGAATACTTTAAGCATGACTTTCAAATAAGTGCTCATTGTTATTAAGTTTTTTTACAGCTAGTTATCGTTCTGGAATTCATAATCAAATTACAGGATATTAGAGTAGACAATCAATGAAATCAAAACCATGGATTCATTAAAAATAAATGAATTATAAGTAACCAATATTTTTAAAATAATAAAACGAATTTGAGACTCTCGTAAAAGTATGCAGGAGTGAGCTGTAATGAAATCAGTGTCGTTTTGGTAAGCTGCCAAAGCCAGTTTTGTTCCGTCAATTTTTTTTTCTCTGTACATTGAAGGTGATGAAGTTTTGACATTTATAACTTCAAAGTAACAATCAACAGTTAAAATACTATTTATATTTAATATATTTGTATATATTATAGCATATATTTAATCTTCATTTAATGAAAAATATTGAAGTTTCTACTGATCCATCATGAAAAATATTGCTCCTTCACAATGTCCAAAATTCTTACATTTTTGTAGATTTACTTTTATTTTTAGAATTTTTGGTTTATTTTCAGATTTATTGCTGTTGGGAAATTGATTACTTTTTGACTATCCAAAATCTTTTGACGCGCTTCGCTGAAGGTTAACTTAATTTCTACTTAATTATTCAAGTAATAGTTTTATTTTAATAATAATAATCTCCAGCAGGAGGATGACGTAGTGACATGTTTGGCAAACATTGCCCCAAGAGCTTCCTTATGGGGGGGTCTAATTAACTTTTCTCCATTTATTTTTGCATCAATTAATTTATAAAATATTTTAGTTATATACTTCAAACCGTTACTTCCTTTCTCCATGACTTAGACAATGTTTTATATCAACCTCAAGTTCAATAACAAGAGGCGGAAGATGCACTTAACAAGGGAGCTGTATTTTGTTTGAAATACCTGGTTCAATGGAACAGGCCAAACTTACAGCTAAGTTCTTTTGTCCCATAGGCACAAAGAATTGCAATGGTCTTCTGGTAATTTCTACAATGTCCATTCCAAAGTCAGGTACGACTGATTTCAATGACCCCACGATACAATGGAAAGGCAGGTACATAAAATAGGAAGTGAGGTATTTGAATTTGTGTACTTTTGCAAACAATTTTCTGTTACGTAAATCCTGTTATATTTGGCTGACTATCATATGCTTTGGTTTATCTTCGTTTATTTGTAGACCAATTTTCTCTTATTGGAGTCTTAGCGAGTTCTTCAAAATCCTTTTGATTGCTTCCTATACAGATTTCATACCAACACATTTTTTTTTCTATACAGAGATATAATTAGAAAAAGTTTTATATTGAATATTTTTGCATATTTGAAAATTAATGCAAATGATTGCATGTCTTGATTATATCGAATAGAAAAAAAATGATAATTAGAAATAATAAATTAACATACGATTCAAAGAAAAAATTCCATACTACAATCTCATGGTCAGTTTTAATCAAGAAATAAATACAAAATAACTCTACATTCAGTGATTGACTTCTTATAACATTTTCTGTTTTTTTTCATCTCTTCTTCTTACACATTTAAAGTCCAGACATAGTTTCAATTTCTTACCTTCTTTTCAAGAGTTAATAAATGGATTTCTAATCATCATATTCGTCAAAATTGTAATAGTTTGAAATAGTTTTTGCATGTGTTCTTTAAAGGCAAGTTTCTATTGAAAGCAACTAGTCGATAATTTTAATTGAATATAAATTTGACCCTTCCACATTTTCTCTTTCTCACATAATGCTTTGATCATTTTGGTTTACAAAAAAAATTGAATTAATTTATTGTTTATTTTTAATCCTTCGTCCAATTTCTTTTTTAGTTCAGAACAATGTAACCCACATATTTCATTCAAAATACAAGAACTTAACCGACTATACAGCCAACTATACAGATTACTGACTAGAAAATCTCAACTTTCAATAGTAAACTAATAACTGATCTACAAGACAATCCTGAAACCTTTTTGGACCACAGGCGAATTCACAGGGAACGGAAGAGGAGGCTTTCGGGTTGAAGCACTCCTCCTCTTCCCCAAATGGTAAAATGTAACCCTGTTTTATGGAAAAAAATATCTCTTAAAGTATTATTGTTCGTGTAATTACGTTTAATAGGACTTAAAGTATCACTTAAACACCATTTCATATAGGTAGTTTGTTTCTTTTTTTTATTTTTCGAAGTAATTATTGTTATATATATGAAAGAAAAACCTATCGGGATGAAGCCCCCCAAAATTAAATTTTGGATCCGCTAGTGATTTGGACCTATGGACTAGTGCTTTGGAGGACAGAAAAAATTTTCTAACATCAACGTATCCCACGTATCCCATAACGTATACGTAAACGTATACCATCCTTTCAATATAATTCCTTCGAAGAATAGTTGATGCTCTGTTCTACGTAACAAACAAAACCCTATGCTATGACCTTAACATCCCATTTGTCCTACACCTTATCCCAGAAGAAAAATCTTCAAATTTCACCAGAATCTTACTTATCACCCCAATCCCCTTACACAATCCCTACCTTATAACATAACACCCATCCCTGTATGAATGGAGGTAAACCCCTCAAGAATGTTGAAACGATAGAGACCCCTCGACATTTTGTAGTATGTATATATTGGAGTTCTCGCAATTGTCAGATTTTTCACTGAAGACATGAGTGTATGTGGCTAAAGTACTCTCGCTCAATCTTTACCATCAGTGACGCGGTTGAGAGAATAGCGTAGGGATCTCCTGGATTTCCCTCTATAGTTGAAGGAACAAACCTGGCTTGGAGTTTCCTCGCCTGATTGTAAATAATGTATACAGTTATGTATTTTGATTTTTTTAATTTACTTATCTTTAAGTTATTTTATTTTTATTTATTTGACATACTTTTGGATTACTATTGGGTTTTTATTTTGCTTCGGTTTATTTTATATAAATATATTTTTCTGTACTTATATAGTGAATATGGTCTTACCTCGCTATAACCATTGCCTACGTGACAGCATGTTATATTACTCAATCAAAGCTTTTTGTAGAGCCATTAGTGTAATTTAAAAATATCTTAGCTGTATTATTGCACACTTGGAGATTTTTTTGCTGCATATTTGACGTTTTTGTATTGCATACTATATTGCATAGTTTTTTGGGTTTTCACTGCATCAAAATCCAGGGTCTTGTTATAACCTTGAGACCCAATTATAATATACAGTAGGGTAGTAAGTGAAAATTGTGTGATGCACCCAATAGGTTTTATATTATTGTATAATCATAATTGTATAAATAATAATAGAAATATAAGAATATGGTATAGACCTGTGAACATTGCTAATGCACAAAGATTCACTCACCCTTATTTTGGGTCACCATTATCACATTCTGAGCATTCTTCAAATAGGATTTAAAAAAATTGGTGCAGTGCGCACATCACACAACTTTCACTTACCACCCTCTTCTTGGCAGAAATACGTATTTTCAGAAAAAGTAAAAATTATAGACGCTAAAATTATTTACATTTCATTGTTGGTATTTTATTTGTATAAGTACCCTTTACATATACAGATTTTAATATTTATATTAAATTCTGTAATCTTTACAATTAAATATTAAATAATACCAACAATAGCATTTATGAAAACCACATATTTATATTTATATAATATCCTGTGCGATCAATCACAACTATTCTCATTAACTTTTTTTTATTTCTCCTTTAGTTAATAATCAAATTCTTTCATATGTTATATATAACTATCTTTTATATCAGAGATTAATATGAAATAGTCAATTGTTTCAAATAAAAAAAATCAAAGGTACTTTAGAGGAAGCTAATATTGAAAATTAGCCATTTAAGCCCTGTTATAGAATATCAATCAGAATAAAAACTACATTTTATTTAAAAATGCTTAATTTTACACTGATATAATGAATTTAATCAAAATCGTTAAGGCCGTTTCCGAGAAAATTGTAAAAATGTGTTTAGCCCATGATATAAAGTGCCATTTCCGGTTTCACTTTCATAAGACTTTTTGTTTTTGAGCTAGACTGTAAACACACACACACACACACACACACACACACACACACACACAAAGACATATACACAAACAGACCATTTTGCGGGACTTGGTTATTTGGATTTAGGAGACCTTGAAATGTGTATTTCCGTTGAAAACTGAGATTCAAAAATTTTCACGATCGCAATACTTCCCTTTACTATATATTTCATATATATGTAAGTGAAAGTAAAAAAAACATTCATGACTGATTATAAGATCGGAATGAATGACCGAATGAGGTATCTAAGAATAAGGTATGAGGTAGGGAAATAGGTTTTGGCTCCTCTTGGCAGAGTGACATTTTAGTTGTGACTGGGGCTCAGTCCAGTGCGTTTCGATACAGTGTTATACTTTTAGCTGTACAGATGTGCGTGATATCCGATTGCGTATCGCCTATAAGATAATTCATATTTATTTTTAATAGCATGGGATTTACTGGAGTCATCGTAAGTATTATTTGTTTGTATACAATATTTTTTTTTTTTTTTGTATTTACAATCATGAGAAAACAATATCGAAAACGATAAACAGATCTATACATATGCATAAATACGTTTATGTTCAATTATCTTTTTAATTTTTACACTGGAGTGCTACCAATGGGTAGTTTCTCTTCATGTTGTACATGTCAAGTTATTTATTTCATATTTACTAGTTGTATTTATCATTTAATACAGTTGTAAATTTCAATAATAAAACGTTGGCAAAAATTAAAAAAAACTGCGTCCTGAATATTTATCCCCCACATCAATAATAAAAAAAAATAAAATTAAAATTTTTTTTACATATTTTAACATGGACTATAGAAAGTATAGAATCGTTAAAAAAATATTTTAATTTTAAAAAAATTATTTTAGACTAATTTTTTTAGTTCTTTGAGTATTTTTTTTGTTGAGTTAAATTACATTATGTTATATTTACAATAACGAGTCCAAATAAAAAAAAAAAATCGCTTGACAATATTTTTAATCATATCTGATAATCCCAAGCTAATCAAATGTAATGATTCAACTTTAGAAATATGCAGTAATTATTATAATCCACTGTACAGACCCCTTGTTATCAAATTACTAATATCCATCAAAAACTTCTTATCGTAATCTACAACTTTTAAATCTAAGAAAATTCTTATCAACGTCGTTTCTAGTTAAATTAATTAATTTATTGATGTACTAAAAACTCATCAATACCCATTTGCTTTTCACTTGAATATTAAGATAATTTGATCACAAAATCGAGAAAAAGCGTTGCTTACAAAAATATAATTTAAGGGTCACTTTTTCAGAAAATGAGAATATACGAAGTTTGTTTAAAAAAAAAATAAAAATCTAAGATGTGTGCATTAGAACACACGATAGAAGTGAAAACATCAACACGACGAGATTAATAATATAAAATATAAATTACAAATAAAGCCTCGTTATAAAGAGGATGAAATACTGAACAATTTCCTCTCTTACAATATGCCCTCGATTTTTAGTTTCTGAGGTATTTTAATCCATTTCTTCAATAAAACTCGTTATCATTTGGTTTTCGACCCTATTTTTTCCCTTTTTACCTCTCTAACAGGGCGTCGCGTTAAGATAAATTTTTTAATAACAGTCCATTACAGATGGGATGAAATGTTGAATAATTCTTTCGCTTACAGCATGCAGGTCCGATTTTTAATTTTTGAGATATTTTAATCAATATTAAAAAATAAATCAACTACTAGACTCCAGCCGACTTTACCCGAGAGTTACACATCGGAAATCTGACGGCTTGAGTTAATTCACTCTCCACAAAAAAGTGCAACACGCGACTAAAGAAGTTTTCACTTCAAAAATACACAAAAACATAAACAAAAATGGAAATAACATTGTTAGAATGTTATAGTTCTAAAAATGTCATAAAAAGAATGTTTTAATCTATTATGACAACAGATAAATACAAACTTTGGTTAATACCACGGGCGGATCTACGGGGGGAGACTTTCGGGCTGAAGCCCCCCCAAAATGGTAAAATATAATTATATTTTATGGAGAAAAAAAAATTTAAAAATATCTCTTCAAGTATTATTGTTCGTGTAATTACATTTAAAAGGATTTAAGGAATCACTTAAACACCATTTCATATAGGTAGTTAGTTTCTTTCTGTTTTTCCAAACTAATTATCATTATTTTAATGTAAAACAAAAGCTTTCGGGCTGAAGCCCCCCCAAAATTAAATCCTGGATCCGCTAGTGGTTAATAGACGATATCGCACATCCAATGTCATGGTCAGGAAGCAGTAAACGTTTTGGCTCATTGGGCTCATAGTCCAGATAGTAACATACGATAATGTTAAATTATTTTAAATTAATGCACCATTATATTATGGTTTATTTAGAACAATTGCTCATTTTTTGATAATTGCGAGGAGGTAAAATTTTTGAAGAGTTCATTGTCTCAAAACCAAAGAAGCGGTTCCGGCATCAAATAAAATTACTGGCTAAAGTAGTTGGAAACAATGACTACTTTGAAGAATAGTATTCAATAATGTTTAAAATATGTAATATGAGCACTGTTGCCCAAAATTCGTCTTGGTCTTGCCCTTTGCAATACCAAGAATGGAAAAAAAAAATTCCATTTCTGTGTATAAAAAGGAAGACAAAATAGTTACTAGTACGAGACAATTTTAGTTACTATATGTAAAGAATTGGCAGAAACAATATATTTTTGCATTCAGGGGAGCCCCCCCCCCCATGGCCGATAGCGCATAAACCTTCCCTTACCCCTCCCGAGATATTTTATTCTTCTCTTCTTCTTAAAAATAGTGCAAACGAAACTAGAATTTGAATATTCGTAGACTATTTACCATTACTCATATTGTGGTCTGTTTATGATTCGTCTTGTCTTTTGATTTGAAATTTTTTATTTTGAGAATTCATATCACTCTCGAAATGTGCCCCCCTAAAAGTTGAAAACCGCGCCAAAAAGTGCCCCCCTCATTAATTTTGGTGGCGAACCTTGCGCCATAAAACTCCCTTTTGGGCACCCCTGTTTGCATTTAACTCTTCGAATTTTTCATTCGGGATTTAGTTAGGTTTTCCCATTCTGAAAAATAACACTAATAACTCTATAGTATGTAGTGGTAACATTTTTTAAAAGACCATTAAATTACCGACAAATCTATAAAAAAATAAAATAAAAAAATCTCTAAATCGGACCAGCTTTAGCAACGTTAAATTAAATTTTATACACTGATTTTAATAATTGTTCACTTGCCCGTTTACATTACTTTATATCATCAAATAAATCGTATTCTAACAATTTCTCTCAGGAAAATTAGTCGAAATCAATGGAATTATTTCTAATAGACATATTTAAAATTGAAAAAAAAAATCGGTACGATATCATGTGAGTGGATAATACAGATTTTCTATTTAAATAATTGCTGAGATTGTACAGATAGTCTTAAAGCCGGTCCACACGCCTCGGTTTGCACAACGTTTTGTCTGCGCAGTCTTAAGACGGAATGAAAACGTTGCAATTTGCAGAGCGTCCACACGGCACAGACATATCCGTATATTTTGCTCAGTTTTGTGTGAGATCGCCATGGAGGAGGTACTACTCTGGTCGATTTTCGCGATGTGTATTGTTAAAAAAAAAAGATTGGAACATCTCAGAAGTACCCGGCGTTCAAAGTGGTCGCGGAAGTGGCTTCTAAAAAGGCAGCACTTTTCCTATATCAAATTATTGCGTGAATTACGTGATGAACCTATGAATGATTGGCGGAACTACTTGCGAATGGACATTGACACATTTACTTATTTATTACCAGAGAGATGGCTTGTATATTTCGTCTTCTCCAGTCCCAGATCGAATCGATTTATTTATTTTAGCCAATTCTTTTCGGTACACGCTTCTCAATGAATTTATTTTTTTCACAACTGTCTCCCGGTTTGCCGTTACATCAATTTCTCTAAATTTATTAGCTAAAATTTCATACGCCTCCGCCTTCTTATCCCTGTCACTGTATTCTTTTGATTTTACACGCCAAATGCACGGGAAACTTTCATACAGAGCAATAAAATCAGTTATAAACTCCCTAGAACATTGCCAAAGGTCAGCCATTGTCGCCCGACGGATTGAAACTGAGTAGCAAAACGGATCGGAAAACGGTGCTACCGTCCACATGCGCCGACTTGCCTGCGCAGTTCAAGGAAATCTGAGCTGTCTGGCTCAGTTTTACTAAGACTGTACCGTCTTCCAAATGGATTCAAAACTGCACTGTTTTCCAGTCCACACGCAACGTTTTATCTGCAACGTTTTGAACTGCGCAGACAAAACGTTGTGCAAAACGGAGCGTGTGGACCGGCCTTTAAATCTACAACTCTTCCATTCTCAGGTTGGGGTCTATCACTATATTTGTTGATAATGCCATAGTGTATTGGCAAGTTCAATACATTAATTTGGCAGGACTTTACTATGTTTAGGTTAATTAAATATCTAAACGCACCCATTTTGTAGCGTTTTTCAACGATCTAAAGTAACATGTTTAATAAATAGCAATAGGTAACTACAAGACCAAGACCAAGACCAGAGTGAGGGCGCTAGACTAAGACTCGTCTTGGTCTTGCATTTGGGTAACCCCGTTAATGAGTAGTAGAGCTGTGTGATTTTTAGTAAATTGTTTCTAAACATTCAATTTAAATAATTTATAGTGATGAGATTTAGTTTTTTTAAGTCGAGATTTTAACATTTAAGTCGATTCTACATATGTTCCCATATAGGCGCAGAGTTTCCATTCTGGTTGTAGACGAGCGACAAACCCCTCTCCTCTCTCCCCCCACCTAAAAAAAAGGCTCAGGAGTTTATATTGTGTTAAAAATTATGAGTGATAATCAACATAACTCTTGTAAAAGGAACAATATAATAGTATACATACAATAAATTTACATATATGTTTATAATTTTTTATATATGTTAACGAAGCTGTTGATTACTTTGGCGTGGGAAATGTGATAAAATCTTCAAGTAGAAATTGAAGAATGCTCGTGTATGAATAATAAAATGCTAGAATATGTTTCTATATATAATTAATTATCTTTGAATATAAACTAAAATTTCAATAATTAATTAAGTAGTTTAATTCTTATTGATTTGGGTTTCATCTTTGTTCTTTAAAAAATGGGGAAAGATGGTGAAACGATATTCTCGCCCCTATTTTTACTTTCACTTACGTATATATATAATATATAGTAAGGGTAAGTATTGCGATCGAGAAAATTTTCGAATCTCAGTTTTCAACGGAAATACATGTTTTGAAGTCCTCTGGGTCCAAATAACCAAGTGTCGCAAAATGGTCTGTGTGTGTGTGTGTGTGTGTGTGTCTGTCTGTGTGTGTTAACAGCTCATAAACGAAAAGTAGTACGAAACAGATATTAAGTATTTAAGGTTTGTATATGAGCCCCGGATATGACAGC